AATACTCTGAGTTTTCTATACAATGGATTGGATTTGCAAATATATCTCTAATAAACAATTTATATCCTCCGTTTACAAAACAACAGATGATAGATATAACATTAAGTTTTTATATAAAGTATTATTAACCTATAATATAATAAGTAAAAAGATGTTGAAGTTCAAGGTTTGCAAAGGGAAGGAAAGCATAATATTTCTCGTTAAATCAAGTTTCAAATTTCAAAATATATATAAACTGCAAACATACAGAAACTTGTAGCTTAAAGTGATTTTTTGAGTAAAAATAGATAAATCAATTTATTTTCATGATTTTATCATATTTTGAGAAAGACACAAGAAATAACTTTTTTTAACTGCCAAAGATTAATATTTAATCAATAGATAAATCGATTTTTTATAATTGATTATAGGAATTATATATTCTAAATCGAGTTTTTATAATTGATTATAGGAATTATATATTTTAAATCGATTTTTTATAATTGATTATAGGAATTATATATTCTAAATCGATTTTTTATAATTGATTATAGGAATTATATATTTTAAATCGATTTTTTATAATTGATTATATGAATTATATATTTTAAATCGATTTTTTATAATTGATTATAGGAATTATATATTCTAAATCGTATTTTTATAATTGATTATATGAATTATATATTTTAAATCGATTTTTTATAATTGATTATAGGAATTATATATTCTAAATCGTATAATTGATTATAGGAATTATATATTCTAAATCGTATAATTGATTATAGGAATTATATATTCTAATTCGAAGATATATTTTGATGATTTGTTTCTTATTAAAAACATTGAAAACAGAAAATGCCCCTGTTGTCCTTTGCAATTGCATAATCAATACAAAAACAATTCTATTTAAACATATGCATAAATTGTTCAAAACATTTCATTTGAAATCTAATAACTTCTAAGAAAATATGAAAAAAATGATATTTATGTTTAGGTTTTAAAAAAGAGGACTATCTACAATAATAAAATATTCATCGATTTTTTCCAAGCTTACGGACGCTGCCATTTAGAAAGTATCTAAAAAAACAGATTTAAACATATAAATTAATTTGAAACCGCGTTATTGCAAAAAAAAAATTTGGCAGAAAAATCGGTTTTGGAATAGAAAGTGAAACATAATTTATTCATTATTCAAAGGACTGAAAATGACCCTGCAGTCTCTATACAAAGACGCTTGAAACCTATATAGTAAATGCAGTACTCTTAAAAATTTGTCTCCATATGTATCAGTCCAGGCACAACCAGCCCACTATGCATGTCAACCAGGACACAACCCACCTGGCTCTAAATGCCATTTACAGGGACACAAGCTTAGCTATCAACAAGCTATAAATCAACCCACTTGGCTCTAAATGCCACACAAGGACACAAGCGTAGCTATCAAATAGCTATTACTTTGGATCTAAATGATACACAATGACACAAACGTAGCTTTCAAACAAGCTATTACTTCGGCTCTAAATGCCACACAAGGACACAAGCGTAGCTATCAAACAAACTATTACTTCGGCCCTAAATGCCACACAGGGACACAAACGTATATCTTTCAAACAAGCTATTACTTCGGCTCTAAATGCCACACAGAGACACAAGCGTAGCTATCAACAAGCTTTTACTTTGGCTCTAAATACCACGAAGGGACACAAATGTAGCTTTCAAACAAGCTATTACATCGACTCTAAATACCACAAAGGGACACAAGTGTAGCTATCAAACAAGCTATTACATCGGCTCTAAATGCCACACAGATACACACGCATATATATATTGATATCGTATTCATACAGACAGAGCGTTTAATGGTACCGTTGTGAATCCGGCAGGGAGATTCACTTGAAATTACGCGTACAGTCCCTTTAAGTATAATCTTACACCCTCTCTCACCTAGAAAAGTTTTAGTTATTTTATTTTGATTTATTGTTTTTAAATTGTTTTTGAAAAGCGTTGGTCAACTGTAAAATGTTTAACCTTGATAGTGCTAAATCATCTTGATTTCTCTTCTAACTCTACTCTATTGATGCTATTTCATAATAGTTTAGATTCTTTCCATTCTTTCCCCTAGCGAAGCATGACCAAGCTTTACTTTGTCACTTCGTTCACGTAGTTATCTTTTAATATACAGGGTGTCCCACAAAACATGACAGTTCGTGAATAGTTTTGAATGTCTTCTTCCATATACTTTATTAGAGATTAAAGTTTTTTTGCGGTTTATTTCTTTTAAAAACTCTTTTACTCAAATATATTTTACTTTTGAATTGATTTTGCTATGATATGATATTTTTCTTTATTTTCTTTGGTATTAAACAACTTGAAAAATTGTGGAAGAAGCCATTTTAAATTATTCAGGTAATGTTTCTTGGGACAATCTGTATATTAATCACTGCACATCCATGATGTGCACGTGCTCCCGCAAGATTTTATCAGAAAGGAATCATAAGTCTTTTCAACAAACTCATATTTTCTAAGCCCAATACTTGTGTAGGTGTAAGTAGGTGTAAACCTGTGATATTTCAAACTAAGATTATTTGATCTATCATAATTCATAGTTTAAAATATCTAAGGTCTACAACATCGGGTTGCAAAGATAAAGGGATTAGAAAATCAGAGTTTGTGATAAAGACCCAATCCCTTTGAAAATTACTTCTGTTAAACTGAAGCTAAAATCAAGTTTGTTGTTATTATAAAATATTCATGTATTTGGCTACAAAAATGTATCAGGTAGTATATAAGGGAAAACCAAAGACCAAGGCGTTGTGACACTTCAAGGTCTTGTAAATTGATGCAACTTTTTCTATCAGTCTTAATCTATGTGCTGGGGATTGTATCTAATTGTTTTATTAAAACATGATGTAAAATAGAACCAAATATATTCACCTGATTGTTCTTTAAACTTAAATGGGACAAGATCGAAAGTTTTTCGGTATTTGCAAGTTTTAAAATTCTGTCAGAGAAGAATGGCTCTTGAGTCTTCTTCAGTTGATAGTTATACTTGCATTACTTTCTGAAGGCTCTCCGCTCATCATTTCTAAATATTTTCAAATAAAAACCAAAATAATCCAGCCATGATTTTTCTAGAAGCTTTTTATAAAAAAAAAACGAGAAACACTTTTTTTCGCCCAAACAATGTTTACGGTTGTGAGTCGTGGTTGAAACTATTGAAATAAAAAGTCCCTTAAAGTTAAGTTGACAGTCCCTTTAATTAGATGGACATGTTACTCCATAGAATCAAGCTGATCGTGTTCCTCAATTTATCTATTGACGCGCGTATCATCTTCATATAACTCGCACAAGATTTCTCCCACCAGTTGACGCAGTAGAGGAACAGTTGACGCTCTCTAGGCTCGGTGAGCTCAACCTAAGATTGGAAAAAGAAATCTCGTTTAATAAAAATATTTAGTGTTGTTTCTAAACCATATCATCAATATTTTAACTATAGGTAAATAAGTGAAAAGTGAACTAAACAAGTTAAAGGGACTGTTACACGTAATTTCAGGTTGCCCTCCATTCTAAGAGTACCATAGTGGATTCACAACGTTGGAAGCTTTAACATTTTGAAATAACAATGAGGAAGATTTCGTCGTTTCTTAATCTGGAAAACCAAGCAGTTGAAAAATTTACAGATAAAAGAAACAAAGATATCTCTACCATTTTTGTTCTGCCCAGATAAAGGGTAGTCAAGTTATACCTTGAAAATTAGACATTTAACGCTTTAAATGAAGCCGGCCACTTGAAATTACGTTGTCAGTCTCTTTATGATTTCTATTTATAAACCGTGTGGCCATTTTTAGAATCATTAAAAGTTCAATGAATGGCATTATGGAAAAAGGGGTGCACATTTCTATTACAGGGGAAATTAATTCCAAAACTAGCACTTGCCGCATTTCTAACACTGAGTGCTGGAAATGGGCCAAATCTGCAAAATTATCTTTTTCAAGCATCCTTAAATCCAAACCGAGTTAAACAATAATACACCATACATTTATAAGGAATAGCTTAAACTATTTCTTGAAACAAGAAATGTCAACTTTAAACTAGTAATAAGGTGTGAGAATTAGTTTTCGATGATTCTTGTTTTTATTTTCGAACATTTACCTATTTTGAAACAATTACCGCATTTCAGCTCATGTAGCGTTTTTGATTAAAAAAAAATAAAGAAATTGATACATTAAGATATTAATTTTATTTTGTTATTGCAATGTAGATTTAACGGGAAAGTGGGGTTTTGTCTCGAAAACGCGACAATGATTCAAATTCAGGATCATGTTCAAAAATGGAAAACCTGACATTGTCTTGAAAACGGTCAAGGATTTTAATAAAAAAGAACTCCTTTTATAATTTTGATTTAAGAAAATAGTTCAAAATTCAAATTTTTGTCCTCTTGATGCTTAATAAAATGTTGGTTATGTTTTTATTATCGACTTTTACTCTCAATATGGGCCGGGATCCTAAAAGCCCAATCTTTAAATTTGTGCCCATATCTAACACTCAGTGTTAGATATGGGCCAAGTGTTTGTTTTGGAACTAATGTCCCCTGTATAAAGATGTAAGTTAAGACTAGAGACTTAATTTTATTTATTTATTTTTCAGGCGTCTAAATGGGTGGGTGTAACAGCAAGGAATACAAAAATTTACTTTTAATATTTTTACTTTTTATTTCTTTATGTGGAGCAGTTTCTCTGCTGTTTTTTATTTTAGAGATTGATACAATAAGATTGATTTAATTGAAAGCAGAAATACAAAAACTGTCAGGGTAAATTTTGATATTTAGAAAAGAAGAGGGTACGGAGGGTACTCTGGGGGGTACTCAGATGGTGGGGGGTATTCAGACGGAGGAAGTTACGGAGGTGGGGGGTATTCGGACGGAGGCAGTTATGGAGGAGGAGGGTACTCCAAAGGAAGTGGAGGGTATGGTAATGATGGGGGGTACTCCGACGGAGGAGGTTACGAAAGTGGGGGGTATTCTAGAAGAGGTGGTTACTCTGGTAGACTTCAAAGCAGGTTGCTATTATATTTCATGTTCTTTAAAAAAAACCTGACCAAATATATTTTTTTACCCACTAATGCAAAAAAATGCAAAATATAATTTTTTTTGGGAAAATACTTAGTATTTCTATATTCTATAGTACAACGTTCTTGTACATATAAAATGTTCTTGTACATTTATAATGTTCTTGCACATTTACAATGTTCTTGTACATGTACAATGTTCTTGTACATTTACAATGTTCTTGTACATATAAAATGTTCTTGTACATTTATAATGTTCTTGCACATTTACAATGTTCTTGTACATGTACAATGTTCTTGTACATTTACAATGTTCTTGTACATATAAAATGTTCTTGTACATTTACAATGTTCTTGTACATTTACAATGTTCTTGTACATTTACAATTTTCTTGTACATTTACAATGTCCGTGTACAATTACAATGTCCGTGAATATTTACAATGTTCTTTTTAATATACAATGTACAATGTACTTATATGAGTAAAAGGTACTCATAAATTTAAAAAGAACAAGTAATTGTAAATGAACAATTTACATAGAAAGAATACATTTTTTTCTCTAAAAAAACTATTAAATTGTTTTTTAATAATCAATTTGTTTGTTCAGAATCGGTCTTCAAGGGGCAGGAAGTACTATTCAAGGGGCAGGAAGTGTTCGGAATAATTTTGTTGCTGGATTAACAGGAGGAGAACATGAAGCTCAGGTAATGTCAGAGTTGGGATTTTATGAATATATAGATCTACTTGAACTAGGTATGGATTGTTGAACTAGGTATGGATAGTTGAATGGATAAAAAATTTAAAATCGGATACAAATATTTAAAATGGGATAAAAATATTTAAAATAGGATAAAAACATTTAAATGGGATAAAAATAAAAAGGATCTTATAATGATTTTAAGATTGTTCACTGATTTCAGGATTGTTTACTGATTTCAGGATTGTTTATTGATTTCAGGATCGTTTATTGATTCCAGGATTGTTTACTGATTTCAGGATTGTTTATTGATTTCAGGATCGTTTATTGATTCCAGGATTGTTTACTGATTTTAGGATTGTTTATTGATTTCAGGATCGTTTATTAATTCCAGGATTGTTTACTGAATTCAGGATTGTTTATTGATTTCAGGATCGTTTACTGATTTTAGGATCGTTTACTGATTTCAGGATCGTTTATTGATTTCAGGATTGTATATTGATTTCAGGATCGTTTGCTGATTTTAGGATCGTTTACTGATTTCAGGATCGTTTGCTGATTTTAGGATCGTTTACTGATTTCAGGATCGTTTATTGATTTCAGGATTGAATATTGATTTCAGGATCGTTTGCTGATTTAGGATCGTTTACTGATTTCAGGATCGTTTGCTGATTTTAGGATCGTTTACTGATTTCAGGATCGTTTACTGATTTCAGGATCGTTTACTGATTTCAGGATCGTTTACTGATTTCAGGATCGTTTACTGATTTTAGGATCGTTTACTGATTTCAGGATCGTTTACTGACTGCCCCTTTAACAAATTTTATCAATGGTGGGAACAGTATGGGAAATGGAGTAACCTATGGCCTCCCATCAACATGTCCAGAGGTAGTGTTTATCGTGTTGAGGCATTTTAAACAACAACACAACTTTAAAAATAATAAAACCGTATTTTGTTAATGTTGACTTTTATTTAACTTTGATCTATCTTTACCCTAAAAAAGGGCGTTACAACACCTTTTTGTGGATCTTTTTTGGGTAGTTTTTTGCATATATCTTCGGTCAGGGTCAGAATTTGACATAATGTAAGAAAATAAATATTGAAAATAAAAAAATTTAAGAAATTTTTTTTTCTTACAATTTGCCAAATTTTGACCGTTGAAGAAAATATAGGCAAAACCCATAAACAGACCAACGGCTTGACGGCTTCTAACAGACCCCTTTTCTTCAACTGTAAACTTGTTTCTTTCTTTGCCAAATTATTTAAAAACTATGTGCAAGGTAGAAAACAAAAATAGCCATTTTGAAAGGGTGTCCAAAGAAACATGACAGAAAAAAGAAAGAGCTTGAATATTGTCTTTGATCTTAGAAATAGTATGCGACATTCATTTGTCTACAAAACATTAACCTCAAACCTTCAATAGTCCTGGCATTTCCAAAATGTGGTCTGCCTTTTTTGTGATTTTAACATTCCTTTTATCTCTGGTAATTAAAAAGCACAAAAATGGCAGACCACATTTCGGAAATGCCAGAACCTGGGTGTTTTTATGTTTATTATTTGAAAATGTTGCTTCTCCTTTTAGTTTGACAAAAGAATGCCAAACATTTTTATGATATTCATAATTCAAGTTCTCCAGTTTCATGTTTTGTGGAACATCCTGTACCTAACTTTTTTAAAAATCAGAAATTTAAAAAAAAAATCGTTTCTCCGACAACCCTAATTTTTGACAAATTTTGTTTAAAACCCAAAATTCTTGATTTTTTATCTGAATATATTTAGGGAGGTATAGATCAGAATACAGCTCTACTGGCAACTGCAGCAGCCATTGCAGTGGGTGCAGGAGTTCTTTTTAGGAATAAATATATCTTTTTTACAAAATATTTTCCATATTTCATCAATCTTATAATAATCTGACATTTTGATTTGACTCCGGTACAATTTGTTATTTCACAGATAAAGAAAAATATTACAGAAATTAAAAAAAAACTTTTTAAAAATTTTGATATTAAAAAAAGATATATTTAAATTGACGTTCAGAGCAATCACCCTGCAGCAGGCGGGTCGAAGAAAGAGAAGAAGGAGAGATGAGAACGAAGAGATGATAGAGGACAGAGTTATGAATCTTGTCCTTAACGGGGTCAAGAAGTACACGGACCTTAACACCCTGTGATAAAAATACTGTATTATATTGCCAAGAAATATTTTAGTTTTAACAATAATTGATATGGATTAATTATTTATACTCAGTGCAATAACTAGTGCAATAAATAGATTAGTTCTAATAAATTTACAAATCATATATTTCTTTTAATCGACAATACAGACAGTTCTGGGAAGATTCTATGGCCGACAAATGGACAAATTAAAAAAAAATTAAGACTTTTAGAGACGACTGTACGGAATTTTTTTTAGTATTTTTAACATTCTTGGTTCCTACAACAGTAAACTTATTTCATCTGTAAAGAAAGGCATTAATTTACCATATTTCAGGCAGAACCTTCAGATTGTTGAATATGAAGTGTTTAATGCCGTTATTCAAGTCTCAGGTTTTGTGGGCAACCCTGTACATTATGCTTATTTTAAACTGATAATTAAGACTTTTCCATTCTGAGACTCTTTCGACAATGTGCACCATTAGGTTAAGAGAAAATTATCTAATTTTTTAATTTGTTAGGAGAATTTGTATCTTATTATGTATCTATATATATAAAGTTGTAATCTCTGTTTGTCTGTCAGTTTGTCCGATCGTAACTCAGGAACCCCTGGACCGATTCGCCTCATATTTAGATTGGGGAATTCGGGAGACCCACGGGAATGTTTTTATAGCTTGGTTTTGAGATTCTCATTTGAGTGGGTCGACTTAATAACGAAAATTTAGTTTCCCCTATAAAATCAGCAGCGCTGGGTTTCCAAGCGAGTATATTTATGTACATTATCTTGAAAACCCAGCAACCCAATCAAAATTTGAGGCAAATCGGTTCAGGGATTTACTGAGTTATCATAGGATATAGAAAACAGACAGAAAAAAAAACAGATATTACTACTAAATCAAAATAGCTAATTTTTATATAAGGGGCTTCACGCAAATCTGCCCCTTTAGTAAAAGTAAATTCAGCCTATATGAAGCATAAAGTCTGACCACGTCAACCTTGTTGCACCTGCTAGTCCTGTCCATAGAGCTAGGTACAGTACAAACTGGGACCGGAAAGGTTGACCCGGCTCGGAAATTCAAATGTACTACAGCTGCCCGTGGCTACCCACAAAAAAATGAAACTTTAAATTTAAAAATATAAATATCAATTAAATACATTTAATCTTAGTCTTCTTTTTTCATACAAAATGTCCCAACAAACATAGGAATATATTTTCTTCTTCTACATCAGGATTTTCAAAATGGCCTCTATACTTTCATTTTAGCACCTTCAAAATTAGCAGAGATGCAATGTTCAAATATTACATATCTTCTTCGATTTTAAATGTACAAAAAGAAAGACGAAGACCTCTTTTCGAAAGCTTAAAAACCATAAATCTTTTTTCATTCAATTTTTTGTCAACTATTAATTGTATCAATTATCTGAAATCAAGACGATTTCCATGTTGTCTCTTAATTTCCATGTTTTTGGTTCACACTGTTCAAATATTATCAATTATCTGAAATCAAAGACGATTTCCATGTTTTTGGTTCACACTGTATACGATCATATATTTTTATACATCTTTTCTCTGCTCGTATTCTGTAATACTGTACTTTTTATACTTTTATTAATTTACAGAAATTGTTTAATATTAATAGTTGTTGGAAAGCCTAAATGCTTTATTCTAAACAAGAAAAGGTACAATAAGCCATGCTAATAATTAGCAAGATATAATTACAAAATTGGAACTTTTCAAAATTGGATCCATTTTTGAGAACCGCCGGAGGGGGCCGGCGGGGGGCGTTTAGAGATATTCAACTTCGCCAGGGCGGGCGAGGGAGGGGCTGGAATACTTCCGGCGGGTCCAGGAGGCGGTGGGAGAGACAGGCCCGCCGATCCTCGGTTTGCCGGTGATTTGGTCCGATTCTTTCGTGGGATATTGATGGAAACCTACAACAAATGTTTTTAATTTCTAGATGAAAATAAACAAGGATATCCTTCTCATTATTGCTCAATTTGATGTGTTAAGGCACCATTGTGAATTGAACAGGCAACTCTTTGATTTTAGGGGTCATATGAAAATTCCTTTCATGTAAATTTTCCATTCGGTTTATTTGCCCCTCTGGCCTTAATGTTTCCCCTTGCTTCCTTGCCCCCTTGCCCCCTTGTCCCCTTGTCCCTTTGTCGCCTGTGTCACTTTGTCACATTTGCCTCCTTGTACCCCTTGCTCCTTTGTACCTTTATAGTTTCTCCCTCCTTGAGTGCAAGATCTAGTTTCTCTTGAGGAATATCCTTCTCCTGTTCTATCTGATCCTCTACCTAGATAGATAGATGGATAGATAGATAGATAGATAGACAGACAGATAGATTGATTGATAGATAGATAGATACTTACTTGCAAGGATTTAAAATGATCGTGTAGGGTTGTGTTTAAATCGAAACTGTCGGATCTATCAGCAAACCCTAGTCCTAGATGGGCAACTTTTCCTCCTTCAGATTCAGAGATCTTTATCACAAAGTATCTAAATATAATAAAATTACTCCTGTACTGTACTGTACTGTACTGTGTTGTACTGTACTTTGCTGTGCTGTACTGTGCTGTACTGTGCTGTACTGTACCGTACTGTGTTGTACTGTACTGTGGTGTACTGTACTGTGATGTACTGTGCTGTGCTGTACTGTACTGTGCTGTACTGTACTGTGCTGTACTATACTGTGCTGTACTGTACTGTGCTGTACTGTACTGTGCTGTACTGACCGTACTGTACTTTACTGTACTGTACTGTACTGTACTCTACTGCAATGTACTGTACTGTACTGTACTGTACTGTACTGTACTGTGTACTGTACTGTACTTTACTGTACTGTACTGTACTGTACTGTACTGTACTGTACTGTACTGTACTGTACTGTACTGTACTGTACTGTACTGTACTATACTGTACTGTACTATTCTGTACTGTACCGTACTGTACTGTTATTTACTATTGAATTATGCATTGTACTTTCTTGTCTGTACTGTACCGTACTGTACTGTTATTTACTATTGAATTATGCATTGTACTTTCTTGTCTGTTATGTCCTGTTCTGTTCTGTGTACTCTACTTGATTGTACTGCTTCCAACTGTACAGCAATCTACTCCAGTGTGCTGTTGTGTACTCTACTGTTGTGTACTGCATGGTGTAATGTACCTGCTTGAGTCTGCAACTGCCTGTACAGCTGGTCCAGGGTATGTATCAATATGACAGATTGCGTAAAGTTTACCGCTGCCTTGCTCTTCCAGCTTTATCTGAGCAGCCTTTCCTTTGCAAGTCTAGAAACAGTAAAGGGTTATCCACAATGGACAAGATTTCATAGACGACCGGACGAATTTTAATTAGTGTTTTTTTTCGGTACAGTGATTGTTCACTGTAAAGTTTTCGCCTTTAAGTTGATATTAAAGTCTTTAATATTTCAAACTTTGATTTCTTGATTTAAAGAGAATTCTTAGTTTAAATTTTTAAAGTCTTCGACATTAGGTTTGCAAAGATAGAAGGATTAAAAAGAACTGTGTTTTTTGAAAAGACTCAATTCCTGTAAAACACAACTTTAAGTTCGATTATTTGATGTTTTATTTTCCTTGTGTGTGTAGCAAACACCTACTCTATAGCAAGTCCTCGAAAGGTATCTATCAAGGTACAACAAACATAGATTGTTAATAATATAAAACGTACTGCAGGTTTAAAGAATATCACGATATGTACTACATGTGTAGGGTATGCTATAATTATTATCTATTTATAGACTGTGGACTAATTTTTACTTTAGGGCTGGTTGCTACCCGATGTTAAGTGATTGCGGGAATGCGGGTTTAACTTATCAAATTCTTAGAATTTTAATTAAATTAAACTTTTTCAGACATCTTACAACAGGTTACAACACTGGGACGGCTGCTAAATTAGCAACAAATCGCTTATATTCAACAAAATTGCTTATTTGACAGTAGCCCAACTTTTGGGATCCAAATAAGCGATTTCTTATTTTGTAATTTAGAGTGCATAGGACTGAAATAATAATTACCAATCTCAGTTTCCCCTTCCAGTCCGGTTTTTCTAGGTTCCAGTCCGTAGCCTTCCAACCAACAGCTTTTGTCTGCAGTAGAAACTTTATATCAGGGCCCTACAACAGCACAACACCTCACAACCTCAACCAGTAGATAATTTCTACTTCAAGCTATTCGCTCAATGCTATCAGCTTAAATATATCATCTTGAAGCTATAATATTTTTAGTCTAAAGCCAGTTTTCTAACAAAATAGCAAAAATTTTCTTAAGTTCAAATTTCACTGAAAGGGGGTGACCCGCAAGCAGGGGGTAATTAGAAAGAGCCCGATTCGCTCAACGAATTTGCACTTCTTTTTTGCGCTCTTGCTCTTACATACTCCGTAATTAAAAATTGAAATTAGATATTGATATTTTAATCTGTGTAAACGTTACAATTATTCAGCAATAATATATTATATATGTGTATTGATATTTTTCATTTTTTAATACTGCGCTCTCACCTCAAATACCCTCATTGCCAGTCACTCCCTTTTACAAAAATTAGCTACAAGTTTACAAAATGAGTTACACATTGTAATATGTAATACTGACATGCTTGATCTAGCTAGGTATGTACTGTACTGCAGACAAGGTTGAGGTTGTACAGGAGGGTCATGCTGTTTTCCCCTGCATCAGGCACTAAAGAACTAGGGAAACCAAATAAGCAAGCGATCATACCGATTGTTAAAAGTCGTCTTTTACAAACGCGGCATTCGATGACGTTCATTAAACTTATTGGGACTCCCTATTCAGCTGACTTGAGATAATGTTCGTCCACCTTTACCTTTTAAATAATTCATTGAAAGTTGTTTTTCTTTTGTAACATTTTAAAGTTATTTTTTACGATTAATTATTCGGTAAGAAGTGGACAAGCTTTATCTCCAGTTTTTTACTTTATCATTATTTCATGTTTTTTGTAATCATTATTTTTATTGTTTGGACAAATAGGATTATATATATAATATTCAGAGACGCCATCACACTGGTATGTACGGTCAGGTAATAGCGCAATGAATTGTATTTAAATCCCATACTCATAACCTTGATTTTCTACTCAACAATCCCATACTCATAACCTTGATTTTCTACTCAACAATCCCATACTCATAACCTTGATTTTCTACTCTACAATGCAAATATTAAATAGTTGTTTCCCAACAAAAGGGAAGAATACAGTGGTCCTCAGAATAAATTGGAAAGTTCTATTCCAGTTTATTTTAGGGACCATTGTATCTTCCAAGAATAAAGAACAGTGTCCCCGCTACTAAGAATCATCATTTAACATCTCCCTATGTTTTCAATACGAGACAAATATCATCATGCTTTCTTTTCTAAAGTATTTCGTTCTTCAAAAAATTATCTGAAAAACAATAATAATTTACCAGATTGAAATCAAAAGTTTTGTGATCAAAAACTATAAAATTATTTACAGAGAACAGTTTTTCCTTAGAATACTTAATTTCTATCATGCTCTCTAATAACATGTCTCCCAGTCCCAAACAGAGAAAAATTCATTGAAAAAATCATTAAATTTTTATAACAAAAAATTTGTTCAATAGATTGTAAAAAATATCATAGAGGAACAGGGGGGGGGGGCAAAATGGGAAGGCAAAGAGAGAAAAGGAGGTTGGGAGGCAAAAGGGGGAAAGGAGGTGGGGAGGGGGAAGGAGGCAAAAGGGGGGGAAAGGGGGTAAAGTTGAATACCTGAGGTGGGATCTTGTAAACGAAGGATTCAGATTTGATGAGGAGAGTGCGTTCCTCCTCACTCACAGGAAACGGAACCTAGAAGAATTTTTTCTTTTTAATTTTGAAATCATGAAAAAAAACTATAAAAACGTAAAGGCAATTGTCATTTGTAAAGATTAAGAAATAGAATCGTTTTATCGAATTCAACTAATTTTGTGCAGAAAAGATCAGAAAAAAAGTTAACTAGGATTTTTAAAAAAGATAATAATTAATTTTACCTTAGAAGCAGGTTCATCATCAGGCTCAGATCCAAGGGTAGCAAAAGGGTTAGACATTCTGAAATAATAATAATAATAACAATAATAATAGTAATAATGATAATAATAATAATGATCATAATAATAAGAATGATAATAATATTGATACGTAAGTACTTTATGTTCACAGTACACATATATATATATATATATATATATATATATATATAATATTTAATCATATCAAAAGTACGACAGTGTATCAAAGATAAAATATTGATATACAACTTATTAACGTGAATTTGTGAAATCTAAAGCTACATGTTATCTTATCTGTTCTCGTTAGGAGTTAAAAAATTAGAAAATTCATAGAAAAAAAATTATCTTTTTAACATCTATTGTTTGTCTGTTGGCTTGTTGGTTTGTTAGTATCCAATAAACGTGAAAACGGCTGAACCGATCTGACCTTATGTTTGTGTGGAATATCTTAACGGTCAGAATTAAAAAGGATACCTTCAAATTTGTCGATACTTTTGTGTTTTTTTTCGAAAAGCCGCCAATCTTTGAAATTATTAATTTCATAATGTTCGATTTAGTTTAACATCTGTGTCTGTATTGATTTTGAATTGTTTACATGAAAACTATGATATCCAGAGTCCGAATTTATTGAATTTAAGCCGTGTCTCAAATTAGCCAAAAAATGGGTTTAATTAAGCGCCGGCTTAAATCTTGAAATATTGAATAAAATTCTAAGTGGAACCAACCATATTTGAGCCGCGTCTTAAATCTAAGCCGTGGCTTAAATTCTTTAAATTCGATCTCAGGAAGTTATAAAAAATGTCAATATGGTAGAAATTTTGGAAGAAGGTGCTATATTTAAGAAAACCTTGAAGTTCAGCAATATTAACAAAGCTACCTAGGAATACCTTGCTTGCTGTTGTTCTTGTTTAATGAAAATGTTGTATTGATGTTGTTGTTGTTGTTGTTGTTGTTGTTCTTATTTTCTGCAGGGGGGCTAAGCCAGTGGTCCTAAAGTCAGCTGACCAAACTGAAACCATTGGTTTAATCAGCTGACGGCGACCATTTGCTTTCTTAACTAGGAAAATATTGAACATCCAAACAAACAAAAGTAGAAACGGTGAAGTGAAAACCAGGAAACTCTGGAATAGGAAGACGACTTCATAGCAATACTTACGCATATTTGCTGTTGTTACAAAGCAAATAGTTTTACGAGACAATTATTAAATCACTAATTAAGTGAAATGGGTCTGTTTACACTGCACAATTTCTGTGTCCCAAGCTCATTATTGGACTATTTAAAGCCAACTCTTGAGTGTAAAAGCCATCTGCCTATTCCAGAATTTTCTGGTTATCACTGAACATAGGGCGTACAGTACACTTACACAGATATTAATCAAAATCAAAGTTAGAAATTATGAAAAATTTAAAAATGAACACTTTTTAAATATAAAATATAAAAATTTTAAAATATTTTTAGATTTTCATTGAGAAATCAAGTTTTAATAGCAATATATAGGGGTATTGCAAAAAGCTTTATACTTTTATAATATTCTGTCACTTTTTCAACGTATAAAACTTTTTTTATAAATGTACAATCGAAAAAATGTATTCGTTTTTTCTTTCTAAATATTTTAGGCCATTTTCTAAAAACTGTATTTCTAATCGTGTTTTATCAGTGCTATAGTTTGTTTATTATTATCCTGAACTGTTGAAAAGTAATCATGTGAGTATAATCAATATATTCTCCTATCCTCGGTCTATCTATCTATCTACATCCTCCTATCCTCCAACTATCTATCTATCTACATCCTCCTATCCTCCAACTATCTATCTATCTCCAACCTTCCACCCTCGGAACCAAGAACAGGGATGAATATTCTTCAACGTATCCCGCTCCCCTCCTTCTAGCTCCAATATCAGTTATAGGATCAGATTAACAAGAACTTTTCCTCTTTTCCGTGATGAATATTTCTCTAGGGAAGTGGAATAACAATACATAACTCTAGTGTATACCTAGAGATAGCTGAACCTTAACTTTATCCAGTGTTATCAAACCTATCTAGAGATTCAATACCTGGATGATACAGTGTGATAACCAAAGAGTTTGAACCCAGAGTCCAATATTTTTTTGTGAGTTTTCGATGGGAAATCTCATCGAAAAGTGATTTACAGTTACGAACTCTGATAAAAACCAGGAATCAAGTTCAGTGTAAAATGTCACTTTAAAAGTCTCGAGATTTTAAATTTTGAATGTTTATTTACGAAGACACATTAAATTTTGACGTAAATATTTATGCTAGGTATGAATAGAAAGCAAAATTGCGTCACATGCTTTTCTTTAGTTGTGGTTAGCGTAGTACACTATCGAGTTTATTTTTTAATTTCAAGTTGGTTTCTACGTAGTAATATGAGTTGAAACCGTTTTACGTTAAAGTAACATCAAGATTTCAAGTTGTAACTATAATCTAGTTTGCAGTATGATTTCTTTTGCGTAACATGAAGACTTAAAATATTAAATATTTCTATGATCCCTTCTGGCATATTTCGTGAAAAATCTGATGATCATGATTTAAAGTATAAATAAAGTGTAAATACAGTTTATATGTTAGGATAAATAAACTCTCACTTTCTCACCTTAAATGCCGAGTAAATCAGCAAGAGACAAATANTAACAATATGGACAGATAGATTAACAATATGGACAGATAGATTAACAATATGGACAGATAGATTAACAATATGGACAGATAGATTAACAATTGGACAGATAGATAAACAATCTTGACAGATAGATAAACAATCTGGACAGATACATAAACAATCTGGACAGATAGATAAACAATCTGGAGTCTGGACGGACAAATAAACAACCTCCACAGACAGATACACAACCTGGACACTGCACAAACAGATAAACAATCTGGACACACAGATAAACAGACAATATCTGATCTAGTTGATATCTAACGAAATATCAATTTATCTCTGTGATGACATTTGGGTCTTTGAAATCGATAAAATGATTTGTCAATTATAAAATTGATCGTGTAAAATGTTTCTCAACTTTAGGAAAATATTTTAAACTGTCATGTTCTCAATTTTAGGAGGATGTATAGCATTTAATCTGTCAGACTGACTTACTGACAAACTTACAAGTTGACAATTTTCCTAACTTACAATCTTTCTTTTACTGACAATCTAACTCACTTACAATCTAGCTTTTACTGACAATCTAACTCAGTTACAATCTAGCTTTTACTGACAATCTTACTCACTTACAATCTAGCTTTTACTGACAATCTTACTCACATACAATCTAGCTTTTACTGACAATCTTACTCACATACAATCTAGCTTTTACTGACAATCTTACTCACTTACAATCTAGCTTTTACTGACAATCTTACTCACTTACAATCTAGCTTTTACTGACAATCTAACTCACTTACAATCTAGCTTTTACTGACAATCTAACTCAGTTGCAATCTAGCTTTTACTGACAATCTTACTCACTTACAATCTAGCACTAACTGACACTCTTTATAACTGAAAATCTAACTAACTGACAATCTAACTAAATGAAAATCTAACTAACTGATAATCTAACTAACTGGCACTCTTTATAACTGATAATCTAACTAACTGAGAATCTAACTAACCGACAATCTAACTAGCTAACAATCTAACTAACTGACAATCTAACTAACTGACAATCTAACTAACTGACACTCTTTATAACTGATAATCTAACTAACTGACAATCTAACTAACCGACAATCTAACTAACTGACACTCTTTCTAACTGATATTCTAACTAACTGACAATCTAACTAACCGACAATCTAACTAACTGACAATCTAACTAACCGACAATCTAACTAGCTAACAATCTAACTAACTGACAATCTAACTAACTCATCTAACTAACTGACAATCTAACTAACCGACAATCTAACTAGCTAACAATCTAACTAACTGACAATCAAACTAACTGACAATCTAACTAAATGACACTCTTTATAACTGACAATCTAACTAACTGACAATCTAACTAAATGAAAATCTAACTAACTGTCAATCTAACTAACTGACACTCTTTATAACTGATAATCTAACTAACTGACAATCTAACTAACTAACACTCTTTATAACTGGTATTCTAACTAACTGATAATCTAACTAACTGACAATCTAACTAACTGACAATCTAACTAACTGACACTCTTTCTATCTGAAAAGCTAACTAATAAGCTAGCTAAATGTTTATCTGATGGTCTAACTGACTGGCTAACTAGCTGACGAATTAACTATCTTAAACTAAGTTAGCAAGTGACTAGCATCCAGTGACCTTGAATCTTCTAAAATTTCATTAAATATCTATTTTTTTCAAAATTCCAGAATAAGAAAAAATGGCTGAAAATGAGCAGAAAGCAAACCAGCTGTGTGCTGAGGCCGAGAAAAAGTTGAATGCAAAACCGTTTCTAGGTAATAATATAATAATCTATATAATAAAACAAGACATTCGTAAATATATATGTTGCCTATAGGCGACAAAACTGCTGGACAAATTGGGTTGAATCTTTTTGTGGACACTCATGGGTTTTATAGGCAAAAAAATCGAATTTTTTTTTCAAATAATTTTTTTTTTCACGGGTAACGCCGGGCCCTTCAGCTAGTAAGTAGATATAAAAAGCAACCTTTGTTTATGTGCAGTTTGTCTAAATATGTTTGTTTGTATGACCGATAATTACAATGAACCCATGGACCAATTTGATTTTGTATTAACACGATAAAACCACTTAGTTGTATGACCGATAATTACAATGAACCCATGGACCGATTTGATTTTGTATTAACACGGTAAAACCACTTCGTTGTATGGATTGACTTTTAAAGAAAAAATTCTAGTTATCATGGAAACGCTGAATTTCCGAAGCAAGTATAAATATATTTAGAATATATGTAGATATAATATAAAAGGTGTTGTCTAGTAAGTGTATAAAATTTTGCTCTTGTATTTGCATTTATTTAAACCGTGGCGTTTGTTTAGTGTTCAAGGCTACAAGTAGTGGAGAAAAAAATAAGTTAAATAGCTAAAGTATTATTAATTGATGCAGAATTATAGTTATTTTAGTGCAAAATATCTAATAATGAAATACAAAAGATAATGAAAGAGTTAAAAAAGGACAGAAAAAATGTCCTATTTTTATTTGGTTAACACTGTACATGTTTATGTTCTACAGGGACTTTAGGCATAGTTTTAAGTGACAATTCATTAGTAGTGGTGGTCTGATTCACAACGGTTACCTTTAAACATTTCTGAATGAGATATCCATATTTTCCCAGTTAAAAATTGATGCTTTCAATTGTGGTATCTCTGTGGATGTTGATCCGATGCAGGTTGGAGAACTACTGGATTTACACCAGCATAAATCTTTTCCCGTATTTTCTCCTGTTCCTTCCAGAGTCCGAATTTAATGAATTTGAGCCGCGTCTTAAATCCGCCAAAAATCGGTTTCAATTGAGCGCCGGCTTAAATCTTGAAACATTAAACACAATTTTAAGTAGAACCAACCATATTTGAGCCGCGTCTTAAATTTAAGCTGCGGCTCAAATTCTTTAAATTCGGCCTCAGAATTCTTAGTTCGGATTTAAGGAGAAAATAGATCCTCTACAATACCCTCTATACAGTCCGAAAGATAATAAACTAAAATCAAAATAATTTAGGCGGAATAGAGGGTATATATAATATATATATTAGGCGGAATAGAGGGTATATATAATATATATATTAGGCGGAATAGAGGGTATATATAATATATATATTAGGCGGAATATTTGGCGGAACTGGAAAGCAGGATGATGCAATTGAGATGTATGGCCGAGCTGCAAATCTTTACAAAATGGCTAAAAAATGGGCAAAAGCAGGAGATACGTTCACCACCATTGCTGATCTTCATCTTAAGGTAAATTAAATAAGATTTAAATTATTTCTCAGTTTTGACATTTCCAGATCGAGCTGGGATTTAAAATTGAGTTGGGATTTAAAATTGAGTTGGGATTTAAAACTTGAAATGGTTAGGTTGGGATTTAGAATTGAGTTGGGATTTCAAATCGAGTTGAGATTTAAAATTGAGTTGGGATTTTAAATTGTGGTGTTAATTTGGGATTTTAAATTGAGTTAGGATTTTAGATTGTGTTGGTAATTTGGGATTTTAAATTGAGTTGGTAATTTGGGATTTTAAATTGAGTTGGTAATTTGGGATTTCAAATTGAGTTAGGATTTTAAATATTGCTGTCATATTCTGCAGATGCAATGCAACATGCATAATGTCCCTTTGCACTCTGCAGTAGAAATAGAATAAGTAATGTCTTGATTTAACACCTTAATTCTTTGCCATGGGTGTGTCATATTGAGAGAGCAAAATACTTTGCAATACAATACGTACATGTTCTTACTTTTTCTGAAGAAATAATTGCTAAGAATCCTCTTATTGTTGCAACTGATATTTCTAAAAATGTGCACACCACTTTTTTACAAATATGTTAATTAGTTGCTAATCATGAAATCCTCCATGACATTTCATAATAAATCTATGAAATAAAACAAGACATTCGTATTTATTTATGTTGCCTATAGCCGGCTAAACGGCTGGACCGAATGGGTTGAAATTGTTTATGGACACTCATGGGTGACCGAGGAGTATTATAGGCTTAAAATCGAAATCTTTTATTTTTCAAATTTTTTTTATTTTTTTCCAGGGTCAACGCCGGGCCCTTCAGCTACTAAATCTATATAACAAAACAAGACATTCGTATGTTGCGTTATAGCCGGCCAAACGGCTGGACCGAATGGGCTGAAATTTTTTGTGGACACTCATGGGTGGCCGGGGGATGTTGAAGACTAAAAAAGTTCGATTTTTTTTTTGAATTATTTTTCTCCACGGGAAACGCCGGGTCCTTCAGCTAGTAATTATTAAGATAAATATAATATTTGGTTGTTACCCCTGTATATTTTGAATATTCTAGGCTGGGAGCAATCATGACGCATCTACCAACTATGTTGATGCTTCAACATGTTATAAGAAATCGGATCCAAAACTTGCAGCAAACTCTCTTCAGAAAGCTATAGATCTGTATACTGAAAGTGGAAGGTAAAGATGCAAGTTTTAAACCATACATTAAGAAAACGATCTAGATAGGTTTGAAGTATTTTAATTGTCGCTACCTAAATGAAATGTAACGTAAAAACAAAAATTCCTATAGTTTTTGCTTTTAAAAGAATTTAAACATACTATTCATTTTGTTAATATTTATACAATAGAGCAATGAAAGAGTTATTTCTCCTTAAAAGAATTTCCAATTCATAAAATACCTATTCCTTCATTTACTCCTTTACTTTAATATATATATAAATTTGGCTTGTCTGTCTGAGTGTTTTGGTGTTTGTTTGTTTGTTTGTATCCAATAAACGTCAAAACGGCTGAACCGATTGGGCCCAAATTTTTTGTGGGACATCTAGGGACTTCAGGGAAGGTTTATGAATCATCAAAATTTCAAATATTTGTCTCTATCAAAATTCGATCGTCATTAAATTTTTGAAAATTTTGAAAATCCGCGAAATTTTTTGTAAAAATCCGCGAATTATTTTTGTTTTGTTTTACGATGTACACAAAGAGAACATGTTCACAATTAATTTAGGAGATGGGCGCGAAGCGCCCTCTAAGGCTAGAAAGAAGGGCGCGAAGCGCCTTGAATTTCTAGTAATTAAAAAAGCACAACCAACATGTGAAAAATTATAATGCTATTATTTTGAGGAGAATTAAATGAAGTTAAATAGCTCGACTATGTATTAGATATAAAAAATTATATTTTACTTAAACACTTAAATTTAACCAGTTATATTTTTGTGATAAAAAAAATTCATGTCATTATTTTTCTTCTATATTCACCCTTCTTAAATACTTAACCCCCAGGAAATGAATGCAAAGAATAATAAATTATTTCATGACTAAATTATATTTATCAAGTTTTCTTGTGCAGCTTACTTCTTATTTAGGTTTACTATTGCAACCAAACACTATCAAACAATATTATTTAGGTTTACTATTGCAACCAAACACCATCAAACAATATTATTTAGGTTTACTATTGCAACCAAACACAATCAAACAATCTTATTTAGGTTTACTATTGCAGCCAAACACAATCAAACAATCTTATTTAGGTTTACTATTGCAGCCAAACACCATCAAACAATATTATTTAGGTTTACTATTGCAGCCAAACACCATCAAACAATATTATTTAGGTTTACTATTGCAGCCAAACACCATCAAACAATTGCAGAGATTTATGAATCAGAGGGAGCTGATATAGGTAAGCTAAGTAAATAATTGTTCTTAAAGGGACTGTACGTGTAATTTCAAGTACCCCTACAATTTTTTGGTTAAAAATTCCGATTCACTACGATACCCTTTTTGTCTTTGTCTGATCATGAATAGATAAGATATCTTTATTTTATTTTTAAATGTTGTTTCTTTGTAAAAGCGGAAAGAAAAGAAAGAAAAGCGATGATTTTTTTACCTAAGGTGCCTGGGATAAAGTTTTAAAGGGTAACGAAGTGAATCGTGCATGTGACATTTTTTTATGGAAAGTGACGTTGATTTTGATAGAAATATTATCATAAAGCAATCAAGATTTTACACTTGAAAGGGACTGTAAAGGAGAAATTTAAGGGGTATAGGCTGAAACCTAAACATTTTAGGAGTTGATTAAGAACCATAAGAGTTCTATCTGATGTTCCTGTCTCGAGAAATTGATATAAAACTTTGTCAAATTTATATTTAAATCTTATAAATATAAAATTTTGTATAAAAATAGTATGTTTAAACAAATCCTATTCAGCAAATGCACAACCAATCTGAAAACAACAATATCCTAGAGGAGCCTAAGAAACTTAGGTTACTTCTATTATTATTTGAATTTAATAATTTTTCATTTTTAACAGATATAATTGATAATATGATAAATACGTCCTTATCATGTGACCAGAACTCCCACCAATGGCAGTGCAGTATCATTATCACGTGACTCCGTCTGTATAACGTGACCAGTAAACTGCTCTGCCATTGGTGGGAGTTCTTGTCACGTGATAAAACAAATAAATAATATTATCAATTATATCTTTTATAAATATGACTAAAAATAGAAGCGAGACTAAGCTTATTATTCTTAGGCTCCTCTTGGATATTGCTGTTTTCAGATTGGTTGTGTATTTGCTGAATATGATCCATTTAAACATACTATTTTTATACAAAATTTTATATATATAGATTTTCGTATAAATTTGACACAGTTTTATATCAATTTCCCGAGACAGTAACATCAGATTAAAGTGTTTAGGTTGCAGCATATATCCCCTTTGATTTTTCCTTTACGGTCCCTTTAAATCCAAAGTTTTTTTTATTTTCCAAGCAGCATTTACGCTTTTAAACAACATCTTATTCTGAATTAAAGTCTAGATTAGATTGAAAAACATTTATTTTGTACAGAGCAAGCGATGGTTCATTATGAGAAGGCTGCAGATTTCTTCAAGGGAGAAGAATCCAACAGTTCGGCAAATAAATGTATGCTCAAGGTGAAAAATATTTTTGAAAATTTTAATTAAAAATGTTTAATTGATTTAATCCAAATATTTAAGGTTGCCGAATATGCTGCTAAGCTGGAGAAGTACGAGCGTGCGATTGAAATTTATGAAAAAGTTGCGGCAGACGCGCTGGAGTCGTCTTTACTAAAGTACAGTGCCAAGGAACATTTCTTCCGCGCTTCACTCTGTCATTTGTGCATTGATCCATTGAATGCCCAACATGCTCTAGTCAAGTACGAAGAAGTGTATCCGGCCTTTGCTGACAGTAGGTATGACGACAAAGTATAAGGGAATTGACTATTGAGTTTTCTTATCAAACTCGATTTTCTAATCCCTTTATCGTTGCAACCCGATGTCGAAGATCTTTGATTTTTGTTAACTATCAAATCTGGATCTAATAGTCTAAGTTTGATATATCAACTGTTTACACCAACAGGTTGCACAGATTTGAGGTTCAGAAAATCGAGTTTGTGGCAAATAATCAGATCCTTTCATCCCCGATTTTTGCTACGAGGGTTAAACTCCAATTCCGTTGTGATCTGTACTTAATCCGAGTAAATACTGAGATCAAACCGGTATCAGGGTCCTAAAACCGATTCAAAACTTGAATCTATAAAGTCGGATATCCTTTTATTTTGACTGGTTTACTATTTTACAAAGTATATTTAAATCTAGACTTCTGGATTTTTATCTTTTTAGTTTTTCTAAATTTTTTATATTTTATTCAGAGAATCTAAACTTGTGAAGACTCTGGGGAAAGCTTTAGAGGATCAAGATGTTGAAGCATTTACAGCTGCCAGTCAGGCACATGATTCAGTGCAAAGGTATTTTAATTTACAATTTACAGGTGCCAGTCAGGCACATGATTCAGTGCAAAGGTATTTTAATTTACAATTTACAGCTGCCAGTCAGGCACATGATTCGGTGTAAAGGTATTTTAATTTACAATTTACAGGTGCCAGTCAGGCACATGATTCAGAGGTATTTTAATTTACAATTTACAGGTGCCAGTCAGGCAAATTATTCAGTGCAAAGGTATTTTAATTTACAATTTACAGGTGCCAGTCACGCAAATGATTCGGTGCAAAGGTATTTTTATTTACAATTTTGTTTAATATGTATTTCTAAAATATTGGCGGCATGGTTTCTTTGGTTCAGATATAAATATTGAACAAAACACATTAATTCGGTTTCTTTGGTTCAAATATAAATATTGAACAAAGCACATTAATTTGGTTTCTTTGGTTCAAATATAAATATTGAACAAAGCACATATAATTTGGTTTCTTTGGTTCAGAGAGCAAAGCACATATAATTTGGTTTCTTTGGTTCAGATATAAATATAGAGAAAAGTACATATAATTTGGTTTCTTTGGTTCAGATATAAATATAGAGCAAAGGACACATAATTTGGTTTCTTTGGTTCAGATATAAATATAGAGCAAAGGACATATAATTTGGTTTCTTTGGTTCAGATATAAATATAGAGAAAAGTACATATAATTTGGTTTCTTTGGTTCAGATATAAATACAGTGAAAAGTACATATAATTTGGTTTCTTTGGTTCAGATATAGATATAGAGCAAAGGACATATAATTTGGTTTCTTTGGTTCAGATATAAATAAAGAGCAAAGTACATATAATTTGGTTTCTTTGGTTCAGGTATAAATATTGAGCAAAGTACATGATTTGGTTCAAAGATATATATTAAGAGCAAAGTACAGGATCCAGTTCAAAGGTATACATTTAGAGCAAATTATATGATTTGGTTCAAAGGTATAAATATAGAGCAACTTACATGATTCGGTTCAAAGGTATAAATAAAGAGCAAATTACATGATTCGGTTCAAAGGTATAAATATAGAGCAAATTACATGATTTGGTTCAAAGGTTATAAATATAGAGCAAATTACATGATTCGGTTCAAAGGTTATAAATATAGAGCAAATTACATGATTCGGTTCAAAGGTATAAATATAGTGCAAATTGCATGATTTGGTTCAAAGGTATAAAAATAGAGCAAATTACATGATTCGGTTCAAAGGTATAAATATAGTGCAAATTGCATGATTCGGTTCAAAGTTATCAATATAGAGCAAATTACATGATTCGGTTCAAAGGTATAAATATAGAGCAAATTATATGATTCGGTTCAAAGTTATCAATATAGAGCAAATTACATGATTCGGTAAAAAGGTATAAATATAGAGCAAATTACATGATTCGGTTCAAAGGTAAAAATATAGAGCAAATCATATGATTTGGTTCAAAGGTAAAAATATAGAGAAAATTATATGATTCGGTTCAAAGGTATAAATATAGAGAAAATTATATGATTCGGTTCAAAGTTATCAATATAGAGCAAATTATATGATTCGGTTCAAATGTAAAAATAAAGAGCAAACGCATATGATTCAGTTAATAAAAGTAATAAATACATTATAGCAAAGCATATGAATCAGTTGATGAAAGGTACAAAATATAGACATATTAAAAGTTAAAATTTAGCAAAGAACAGGATTCTTTTTACAGCATAAATATGGAACAAAGCAAATTTGAATTTTGTTAAAATACATTAAAAACTGAATTCAAAGTTCAAAATAGGTTTTATTTAGATTCGAGAACTTCCATACAACACTACTTCTAAGAGTTAAGAAGCAGATACCAGTTGAAGACGACCTTTGTTAATCTCTCTTAATACAGGGTTTCCCAATAAACATGGGAATTTAGTGACGAATTAATTATCGTCTTTTCAAATAATTCTTTGTTTTAGTTTAGTGATACCTACGAGAAAGCTGTAATCCGTAAGATTTTCGTCTGCTATGTTCACATTTTGTTTGTTTATGTGTTTATTTTTCATAAAATAAACTCTAGCAGCCATAATAATATTATGGCTTTTGAAATTAAGGATTACAATGCTAAATTCATTACAAAGACGATATCGAATTCGAATTCCTATGTTTATTGGGACACCCAGTACATAACAATCACATCCTTCTCATTCTCAGTACTAATTAAACAAAGGGATTGGTCACGTGGTTTCATTAAATAATTTGTTGCATTTACGATTTACAAAGATACTTTTTAATCCTACGATCATTTATCTTTTAAGTTTAAAGGGTATCATTGCAAGTATATAATTGCACTTTATACGAAGTTTTGTTGACTGAATTCCTTTAAATTGTGTTTAGAAAAGTAAATTTTCGCCGTTTTTCAAATCTTTTTGTAAAAGTTTCAAAAAAAATTTTAATTTTTAATTTTAAAGCTGTAAAATTATAAAATGGTTTATTTAAATATTTATGATTTTAAATAATAATAAACAAAGTGTGTGATTGCCACTCTCATTTAAATGCTTTCTGCTAATTATCTTTTACAATTATAGTGTACAATTATCTTGTACAATTATAGTGTACTCAATAAAAGTTATTGTACAAAATTATTTTCTGCGTAAAGGTTAAACTACAGGGTTGCCCAAAAAGGATAAGAGTTCGGAGACAACTGTACGGAATTTATGTTGCCTGTTTCCTTAAATTCATGATTCTTTTCTTGGCAAATTATTAAATTAACCATTAAAATGTACTCTAAATGTCAACAAAAAATTGAAATTTTCCATCTCGAGGTGAAGAAAATAAGCCAACACTAAGCAGCTTTCAGTATTTTGGAAAACAACAGAAATGACGTTAACATCTATACGATTACAATTTATGGAAGAATAGAATAAAAAGTTTCACAAGTAATTAATATTTGGTGCACCTTTTCTCCGTACACTTAATGTTGGGCATGTTGGACATGTTGGGCATGTTGGGCATGTTGGGCATGTTGGGCTTGTTGGGCATGTTGGGCATGTTGGGCATGTTGGGCATGTTGGGTACGTTGGGCATTTTTTGTGCATGTTGGGCATGTTGGACATGTTGGGCATGTTGGACATGTTGGGCATGTTGGACATGTTGGACACGTTGGGCATGTTGGGCATGTTGGGTATGTTGGGCATGTTGGGCACGTTGGGCATGTTGGGCATGTTGGGCATGTTGAACATGTTGTACAATGGACATGCTGGACATGTTGGGCATGTTGGGCATGTTGGACATGTTGGGCATGTTGGACATGTTGGACAATGGACATGCTGGACATGTTGGGCATGTTGGGCATGTTGGGCATGTTGGGCATGTTGGACATGTTGGGCATGTTGGAAATGTTGGACAATGGACATGCTGGACATGTTGGTCATGTTGGGCATGTTGGACATGTTGGGCATGTTGGACATGTTGGGCATGTTGGGCATGTTGGCATGTTGGGCATGTTGGGCATGTTGGGCATGTTGGGCATGTTGGGCATGTTGGACATGTTGGGCATGTTGGGCATGTTGGGCATGTTGGGCATGTTGGACATGTTGGACATGTTGGACATGTTGGACATGTTGGACATGTTGGGCATGTTGGGCATAATGGGCATGTTGGGCATGCACATCTTTTAGTGAAAGATGACGTTAAACGACATTCTTTAAGAAACACACTTTTCCAAATATAAAACAATTATTTCCATATATATATATTTTATTTTTCATTTTTACAAAAAATATTATATTATTTAACATGTAATTAATACTGAATTCACCCTGTAAAACCTAGGTAACTATAGTTTTGTGTTTCCTTTACTGCAAATTGTACTCTTTGTACATAATCTACCCCATCACAAAGAGAGAAGGAACCCATCTAAAAGAGTACGCTATGTACAGTGCTGTATTAGCTAGAGGCCCGAACCCTGAAAATATATCTAAAATTATTTTTATGATTTTTTATGCAATTTTACATAATGTTTATCCTTTTTATATAACTTTGTTTTACTTTTTAAAATTCTTATCGAATTTATTGGAATCAATCTACATATAGTTTTAAACTATTTTATTTTATAGATATATTTTATACACACATAGAACCCATAAAACTTTGGATCAGAAAGATAAAGATGAATATAAGTCTATTGTTTTTAATAGCCCTATGAACATAAAACACAACAGCTTTGCATTGTACACTGTACAAAGAGATTTTTATACGTAGATTTTTAATCTACCATTTAAAAATCTTACAGAACGTATAGAAACCGCTGATAATGTTAAGCTACAATGCATTACAGGCAAGGGCGTATACAGGGGGGGCATGGGGGGCAGTGCCCCCCCCTAGAATTGTGCAAGCCTTTCACACTTTTCAAATCTTAACTGAAGAGTGAAGAACACAAAAAAAATAAGTTTGCTTTTCATGATTATTATAAAAAAACAAAATTTTAAAATATATATAATTACAGTGCAGTGCTCATGCTGTAACCAAGTTAACCTAACCAACCTAACCTAATTTTAACTTTTAAGTTCACAGAGTACACAGAGTTTAGTTGGGTTCAGAGAACACACAGTCTGCATACATTTGTACAGCTCACACACTTTACATTTTATGCTAGTCTTGTTTAGTAGTGATGTGAGTCTGTTAAAAGTTGCCGTTGTGACTGGTATCTGTGAATTGCTGATTAATAATTATCATGAATCAAATACTGTTATTTATAAGCCTTGAGTTATCATTCATTCTTAGATTGCAGCAATTGTACTCCTACTTTTTTTCACAACAGAAACTTTTACAAGTCATAATTATTTTCTGGACCTTTGTACTTCTTTTCATCTCATAGAATTTAAGTTTAAGTTAAGTTTTTATTTTCAAAAATGTCTTTTACTATCTCTAGTTTAAATACTAAATATACCTGTAAAAGTATAATAAAATGTCGATTTTTTAGAAACAATGCTTAGAAGGTAATTATTTGGACTGTATGTGTGCCTTTTAAGTATCTTATACTTATGCCTGATATCCAAGAAGCCAAGTGTTATGAATTTACAGTTCGAATTTTGCCCCCCCCCTAGGAGCTCCTAGGGGGGGGGCAAAAAAATTTTTTGCGCTTCGCGCAAATCTTGCCCCCCCCCTACATTTATTTCTGTATACGCCCTTGATTACAGGAAAGTCTAATTTCTCTAAAATATAAAAAATATTCTCCCGCAAAATACACCTTGTTGTTATACTTAGCGGTTTTATACGTTCTGTTTCTAATAATAATATTATGGCTTTTGAAATTAGGTATTACAATGCAATTTCAAAATAAAGACGATATCGAATTCGTTACTGAATTCCCAAGTTTTTTGGGACACCCTTTACCATCAAATACAAAAGGCTTAAATGTCGTCTTCCTAATTTTTAGCTTTATGGGTCACAGTCACAAAAAAATTGACTTTTATTTTAATTTTAATCTATGTCTTTTCTAAAATGATGCTTACTAGAAGCTGAAGATTTTATCGACGAAGGAGAACTATAAATGTCGTCTTTGTTTAATTCGTCACTTACACCATTTTCCAACAAATCAGTTACACTAAAATAGAAAAGATTACTTAAAAACAAAATGTAAGAAACTTGGAAAGATAAAAAAGATTTTAAAGATAAAAAAGGGGGGGAATATAAGTGAAGAGATGGCTATTAGATTGGACACTAAAATAAAATGAGGAAAAAAGAAGAAAAGAAGGAAAACGATAAAAATCGATTAACCTCATGAGAGAATCTTTTGTTTTACTGAACGGATCTTTGGGAACAGTCTTCTCTTCCCCCTTCTCCTCCTCTTTCTCCTCCTTCTCCTCTTTCTCCTCAATCATCTCCTTCTCCTCCTCCAGCTCTTTTCCCCCGACTTCTCCTTTTCTCTCCTCGTCACCAATGTCTAAATGAAAAAAAACTTAAATTTAAAAACAATTCAAAAGCATGTTTTAACTTACTTAATTCTTCCCAAGATGTCTCTGAGCTCTTGGCAAACCTTTTCATGGTTTGGGATCTAAAAATATGTAAAATATAAAAATATATAAAATATAAATACTGAGTTGATCAGATATAGGGTGGCCCACCAAACATGGCAGTTCAGAGGCGAGTTAAAGATCGTATTTGTTCTTTGAAAATAGTACAAAATGTACAATTAATGGGTGCATGGGGTACATGGTCATTATAGGTTCAGTAGAAGTAAATATTTACATTTACTGATAGCGTCGATTCAAGGATTCATATCTCTAATTGGATAATGAGATAGATAGATGTTACCACCATACTATTTTTCTTGGTTCAGAATAGACAACAAACACATGACTGAACCCTGAATGGATCAGGCGCTAATGGACTCGGCATACAAGAGTGTGAAGTTTTCTCTGTTAAAGTCAACCCACTCAAATTAGAATATTAAACCAGTGGCCGAATTTAAAGAATTTGAGCGGCGGTTTAAATTTAAGCCGCGGTTTAAATATGGTTGGTTCCACTTAAAATTGTATCAAATGTTTCAAGATTTAAGCCGGCGCTTAATTTAAACCGAGTTTTGACGGATGTAAACCGCGGCTCAAATTCTTTAAATTCCATCTCAGACAATAAGAACTTTCCCGTGGTTCTACCAAGTTCCCCAAACAAAACTTGAAGCAAATCTGTCCGGGGGTTCATGAGTTATGATCGGACATCCAAGCGAACAGAGATTACTACTTTATACATATAGATTTACCTAATAGATGCTGGACACTCGGCCCCTGCCATATCTGTAATGGTGTCTATCACAGTTTGAACTGTTTTCGACAGAAAATTAAAATCCGCGAACACTCCCTTAAACCTAAAATTATTATATTTTAAAACTTTCATTTTGCACATCTATGTTGTCATTTCAAATGCAGCATTTTTGTCCTGTGATGAAATCAAGCCTTGAAATTACTGAAGCATGCTAAAAATGTTTAAGTTTTCATGACCCGAGAATTTTACAATGAATTTATGAAATCAAAAGTTCATGAGTTCCGAGTCATTTTTTTAGATTTAATTTTTGGCGTGGTTGAATTTTTATGTAAATCTTAAAACTTACTTTCCGCGTTTAGAGTCGCATTGTTGATGATAGCACTGTTGCATTAAACCCCGATACGGTCCTGAAATATGAAATATGAAATATGAAATAGGAAATATGAAATATGAAATATGAAATATGAAATATGAAATATGAAATATGAAATATGAAATATGAAATATGAAATGTGAAATATGAAAAAAAAATGTTTTTACAAACATAATTACACTTTTTCTAGAAGTTTAATTTAATTATATTATTAGGCTATAGTGAATAATCATTTCTTTATGAAAAGAAGATTTTTTGGTATGGAACGGGATTCAATTGAACTGTAAAACCTCAGAGCTTTAAATTTTCATTGGTTCTAATTTTACTGAAAGGAAGCGACAAAAGATTATGGTTCCTAAAAAGGTTTTCTCCAAAATTACCATTTTCCTAAAAAATTATAACAACTGCGAAAAAAATAACTTATAAAATTGCTATTACCAGAATAAAAAATGTACGTTCTATGTACAGTACTTTGCTTGTACATATTTACTACCTGTATCTGTAAGTAGAACAGCTCGGAGAGAAAGTGTGTACATATGTTCTTTAGAATACCAGAATCTATACAAACAATGCGTCACTGAACATATCTTTAAAAAACTATGCACTTAAAGGGACTGTAAGTGTAATTTCAATTGACTCTCCAATCAAAGATGACAAACAATTCCCTTGAACGGATACAGAGAGTTTGCCTAAAAACTATTTTAGGCAAAGATTATGTTGGATATATAAGGGCATTGGAGTCCTGTGAACTGGAGACCCTAGAATCAAGAAGGTACAAGCTATCTCTCTCTTTTGCAAAAAAAATGTATTAAATCTTCTGAACATCGTTATCTCTTCCCTGCCGCAGTTCATCCACATGAACATAAACTACGCCACCAGGAGCAGTATCATGTTACTCATGCCAGGACAGAAAAATATAGAAAATCTGCTATTCCTCATATCCAGAGACTGCTGAACCGATAATCTTTTTGTTTCATAATTAACTGTGAATGATATTCACTATTTGGTTTTATCACAATAAATCATTATTTTATTTAAGATGGCAATTCCAAATTTACAACGGTACCCTTGAACCATTAATCTGATCAGAAATGTGGAAGATAACGTTGTTTTTCTGATTCGAGACTCGAGGCGTGTTTAATTCTGATAATTTCTTCATTGTTTCCTGTTAAACAACTAATTTACACGTCACGTTTGCAGAGAAACTGCACAAATAGCAAAAATACAGTTTAAAACCCAAAAACATGGATATCTAATTCATACTTGACAAGACAACGCTTAGAAGGTTACCGTTGTGAATCGATCCTTTTTTGCCTGTTGAACATTTTTACCCTTAGAAACGTCATAGAACTGTAAGATAAACATTGTGGTGTTAATAATTTGGAAAATTGGGATGTTATGTACAGTTTCTAAACAATTAATGTACATTACACATCCTCGGGTTTATCATTGAATCCCTAGCTCGGGGGTTTAAATTTTCCAGATTAAATGATAATGATAATCATCAGACTTATTTACACAAATCTCATCAAAAGAAAGAAGTTAAAAAACAGTTTTAGGCAATCTCAATTTACAGAAAGAAACCTTAGGCATTGGTACCCAATCTAATGCTGAAGTGAATAGGTATCAACCTAACCAACATTTTATTTTTTACTAACATTTTCTTTACCGTGATCCTAACATATTAAACATCTGATAAATCACGCACCGCTGACCCTTTAGTAAAAGTAAATTTAACCTAAAGTCTGACCGCGTCAACCTTGTAGCACCGGCTAGTCCTATTGAGTGTCTGCTTTATTTACCCAATGTCAGGGCGAGACAGTACAAACTGGGACCGGAAAGGTTGACCCGGCTCGGAAATTAAAATGTACTACGGCTGCCCGTGAAATACCTTGCATGATCACTTCTAAGGAATTGTGCATATTTAGCCATATATTTAATTGGAGGAGGTTCAGTTGGTAGATTTACAGGGAACTCCATATACTTGTATCTAGAATAGAATAGAATAGAATAAAATAGAAAAATATAGAAAAGAATAGAGGAGAAAAGAATAGATTATAATATGATAGAATAGAATGAATGAATATAGAATACATATATAATTATAAGAGAATATAATAATTGTTTGTTTACGATATTGTTTACAGTGTACTGCACAGAAGTTTACCTGTCTGGTTTGTTTACAATATTGTTTACAAACAAGGGATCTTCGTTTAGCTTCTGATTATGTTGTTTCACAAGGTTTGCCAGTAAACCCTCTGGTTCTTTTCTAGATAAATACTAATGTTATCATACAAAACTAATGTAATCATACAAAACTAATGTAATCATACAAAACTAATGTAATCATACAAAACTAATGTAATTATACAAAACTAATGTAATCATACAAAACTAATGTTATCATACAAAGCTAATGTAATCATACAAAACTAATGTTATCATACAAAACTAATGTAATCATACAAAACTAATGTAATCATACAAAACTAATGTTATCATTCAAAGCTAATGTAATCATACAAAACTAATGTTATCATCCAAAACTAATGTTATCATACGAAACTAATGTAATCATACAAAACTAATGTTATCATACAAAGCTAATGTAATCATACAAAACTAATGCAATCATACAAAACTATTGTAATCATACAAAACTAATGTAATCATACAAAACTAATGTTATCATACAAAGCTAATGTAATCCTACAAAACTAATGTTATCATACAAAAGTAATGTTATCATACGAAACTAATGTTATCATACAAAACTAATGTAATCATAGAAAACTAATGTTATCATACGAAACTAATGTAATCATACAAAACTAATGTTATCATACTAAACTAATGTTATCATACAAAACTAATGTTATCATACAAAACTAATGTTATACAAAGCTGTGCATTTGTAGTATTTACTTTACGCGAGCTAAGAAAGTCAGAATGCAGTGAATAAAAACAAGGTACTAAACAGTCTATTTTTGAAAGACATGGTGTTCCATTAAACATGCCCAGGAAACATTTTAACCCACTATATGTGCCGATGGGGAAAATGTCGAGTAAATAATTCTGGACGTCTTTTTGTTTGTCGGAGACTAAATGTTTACAGGGAGATAAAAAAAATTGCCGACTAACCTTCTTTGCTATATTTGAAAATAAACCCAGGTATACAGTTCTACTCGTTAAATTACTCAAATCTCTTAATCTTTAAAGAATACTTTTATGACAAATTGACTGCTAAAGGTGGCGCTAGCATTGTAATTCTCTCTATAATATATCTACATGAATTATAAAATTTAAAATTTTGTTATGAAATCATGAATAATGTTACCTGTAAAATATTGATAAGAAGTCTCCTCGAAATTCGTTGCTTGCAACCTAAATTAAAAGTTTATTTTATTAAAAAATGTAAATTTAAATAACTGTAAACTATGTGAGGGTAAATTTTTCTCATTATTCTCTTTTTTAAAATTAAATGATTCTAAAAGTTTCCATTTACGATTCTAAGTGAGTTATGTGAGTTCAATCATTTTCAAATCATTTCCTGATAAAACATTAAATTTACAATTGATTAAATACTTTCTTTCCGGGAAAAGATTCAACCCTTTCTTACCCCTGAAACGATGAATTGGACTCTGGTCATTAGTCAAATTTTTATATTTATTGGTCAAATTTTTTATACATTGGTCAAATTTTTATATTTATTGGTCAAATTTTTATATTTATTGGTCAAATTTTTTATACATTGGTCAAATTTTTACATATATTGGTCAAATGTTCATACGGTGAAACCCTTAATAACGAATACATTGAAAGAATTAATCAAATGTCGTATTCTTCACTTTCTGATAATGGAATGTTGCAGATATTTGGTTTTTTAATTAAATGATTATATGGAACTCTTTAAAACTGTTCCCGCATATTCATGGCTATTTATTTATTTTCGCAAATACAGAAACTTACGTAATATACTATAAAACTCATTGAAAAATTGTCAAGACGACATTTGACAAATTCTTCTTATGTATTCGTTATTATGGGTTTCACTGTATATAGTGGTCAAATTTATATATATATTGGTCAAATTTTAAATACAATATATTTCCTTCAAGTCCATTCTAGTTATAAGTCACACTAGACTGGTTTTTGTGTCCAAGAATGAGAGTAAAAACTTATTTAGCTGAATATTAGCATATTTTTTTTCTCAATAGGTCTTCAGAGACTTCAGAAAGAGGAGCTATGATTTATGATTTATGAAAGTTTCAAATAGATATTTGTTATCATCATCCAGGACAAAACGTTTTGTTAAAAACTATTTGTTGGTAGGTTTATATGGTGATTTAAAAAATATACGAAAAAATAATTAAGTAAGTAATTATTTATTTATGAAATATAACAAAAACATCCAAAATCAAGTGGTTTAGGAGAAAATATTTAAAAACCTCCAAAAATAAAGGTTATTCCCCCCAATTTTAAATTTTTTTTAAATTAAAGGAAAATGAAAGGAAAAGAAAGGAAAGGGAAAGTTACATGTTTATTGTTTACATTACCTTTAATATATCTGGTGGTGGGTTATTATTATTTTTCGAAGATGAAATAACACATTTTAGAAATAAAAGTTATAGATTTATTTGTAATGGAAATTTTAATTTTTCTAAATATCCCGCGGAAAGATTTTACACCTTCTTTACTTTAATTCGCGCGACAATAAATAAATAGCATATCTAGGAGTTAATGGTTTAAAAAGGAACAATTTCCAGTTGTATACCTGTTCCAGGGTGCTTGGAACCTCATTCCTCCAGTCTGTTGGAATGATTTGACTGTTCTTTGTTCCATTAAAGTTTATGATGGAATCCATTATTATAGCTCCCTGAAACTCAGGCCAATGGCTGACCTTAAAAAAAAATTTAAATCAAATTTTCAAAATTATATTTTTTAATATTTTCTTACATTAAAATGATTGATTAGGAATCCTCGAAGGAACTCGTGGCTTCCCTGCGAACCGTTCTCTTCCTTGTCAAAAGCAACGAAAAAGATAGAATACCTGAAAAAAATTAAAACATATTACACAAATAACTAATAAATTGAGTCGAGAACAGACCTCACTGAAGATTGGTCCATGTCCATTGGTCCATGAAACATTGGTCCATGAAACATTGGATATGAGGATGATTATCTGTTTGTTTTGATTGAATAATAAATTGATTATTACACAAATATATATAAAATTTTACTTACTTTAATTTACACTTGGATTCTGAGATAGCTCATATCTCTAATTGGAT